AAAAATCCCTAAATTCGTCCATTGTCCTAAAAATTCCAAAAGAGAAAAATCTTGCCAACCATATGCTATACCTTCATGCGATGTGAGGTTGCGATTCCACCGTGGCATTGTTTTAATGGAAATGAGACCGTCATTTTTCTGCGTTCTTTGCGCTATCCGAGGAAAACGTTAACTCAAAACGGTTCGAACCATTCTTGAGAAAATGTTGACAATGTTGAGGCTTCATGTAAAGTACCACCGATAAATCATAATATCCGCTTCAAAATCGCAGGGCCGTGAATTCGTCCAGATCGATTATGGAGTAACAATTTTGTGACCGGTTTAGCCGCTTGCGTTGAGGACAGACAAACGGGCGTTTTGCCGTGAACCAATTTTCGGTATAAAGGACCCACAAAACATAAATTATGACTACACAACGTGTTGGAAGAAATAACTTACTACACATTGGAACAAGATTTATCCCCTTTTGGATATCAGGACCCCACTATAAGTTTTTTCTGTCAAAAAATCCCGGTTTTCTGCTGCAACGTCACAATACTTTCACTATACTACGTAAGTGAGGGGAAAAAGTAGGAGTGCATGTAAATGTTCGCTCACTTCTAAATAAAAAATAGTTTTTTCAAAATTTTACAAAAGTACTACTTTGCTGGCAATGTTTTTGTCTGCCAAATAATTATATTATTTTCTGTAATTTTCCCTTTAACCTTTAACGTGCTACGTAAGTCAAAAGTTATTTGTGAAATACAAACTGATGTGAGTTTGGATTTTTTATACTGCTAAACGCAAGACGGACATTTAAGGATTTTCCACATCTTTATTTGCAACGTCAACGTCGTCTGCAAGGGAGAAAAAAAGTATATTGGGATTTTTTCCGACAGTGGCCCTTTTTCCGCTTAATTTGACTGGGCAATTACATGGACCGCACACGACGTAATGGTTTGCTGTTTTGACCATTGAATTGGTATCGCCAGCACAAATAGATCCAGAACATTCTTATTGACAGAAAACAAGCCTTATACTTTTCATTACACTGCGGACTGAAGCGTTGACATAGTAAGAAAAGTTTCACTTCAAAATCTTTTACTTTTATAAAATTAAAAATTCTGTGTATAGAACAGCGACTTATGTCAATATCAGTGGTTAAATGTAATAGTAGGCTTTCGCGGCCAGAATTATGGGAGAGCTCTCGGCTGCCCGGGTGACACTGTGTCGCGGGCAGTGGTGCCTAGGCATCACCTGGATCATCGGTCTCATCAGGATAGCCGAAAGCTTTCATATATCCGGATGCTTTCGGTAAGCGAATGCTTATCCGAAATAGCATCGGATACCATTTCAGAATAAGCTGATTTTCTCTCACTTCTAAATAGAAAAAAATTTGCATTTTTTACAATATTAAAATGTCATTTTGTTTACAACATTTCTTAATAGAGATGTGCCAAAATGCTTTACTCGTGTGACAAACTGCAAATTTCCATCCTCACAAACATCACGGATAGTGCCCCCGACCCAACAATGATTCTGAAGCAATAGCCGACTTACAATTAACTTAGTGTGGCGCTTCCAGCAGTACTTTCATGTTTAAAAGTTTACTTAGAGCTTCACAAGTGCTTAATAAAAATACGCTTTAAAAATATTTCAGTTGTCCCACTCCTGTTTCGGACACACGAAGTTGCTTGAAAAAGTATCGATAAAAAAAAACCTGTTTAAATTTCTGTTTCATTAACTAGTGGTGCGAAAACAACACGTACTATCTCGCCCGTATTTTTAACACAAAATTATGCGAAAAGTTCACGAATTTTTGAAAAATTGTACATGACCGTTCATCAAAATTTACATTTAAGGAACAGATCTCAAGGGAAATAATCTTTATTTTTATTATTATAAGTGTAGGAAGACTCCGAAAAAATTTTGAACTTTTGCAATTTTCAAAATAATCAGGATTTTTAACGATCATGAGACCTGCACCGTTCTCTTAAACGTTCTTCACACTATCCAACAACAAAATTTAATAAAAACAATGGAGCTATTTTTTTTTTTAATTTGAAAACAATGTCCCAGGGGCTTCATGAAAAGTATCTCCTGAAGTTAAAATATCGGTTTCAAATTCAAGAGGCCGTTTTTCGCGCAGCATTACACAACTATGTCTCTACTCCGTAGCGAGAAAGTGAAAATTAGGTTTATTTCCAATCGGTTGGACGAAGCGGTAACGATTTATGACAGTGTAGTACTTTATAGCTTTTCACCAATATACTCGTAGGTTAGAACTATCAAAATGTTTTCAAGAATTTTTGTTTGTAAGAATTCTTCGAGAATCAGTTGGAACCGGTTCAGAAAGGCGTTTTAGCTGCTCCCCCCAAAAAAGATTCTTAGAATCTTTTGGTTGTAACCACAAAAACTGATCAATTCCACATCAGGAGAATGGAGCGCATAGAATGGCGTCTCATTGGACCCATTTTTGATCAGAAGGGGCCTAACAGACGCGTTTTTGTATTACTTTACGTAGGATTATTCGTGGAGGAGGAGTATTAACGGTCAAAGTCAAATATGTCGAGCAGCATCACTTACTCCGCGCGTAGGTGCAATGAAGGAACAAGGAATATAATAAAGACGCTCCTCAATGCGACGAACTTACAAGAGAAGGTCAGCGATATCAAAGAGATTCCGACTTCCAAAGTGAGTAAAATATAAAATAAAATAAAATAGTGGGTCCCAGGGTGAATAACCATGAATTACGTTTGCTTTCAATCCTAGTTCATTTCATTATTTGCTAAAGTTAACATTTGAGTTTTTACTAAATTTGGGGGTGGCTACACAACTTCACTGAGAGATGTAGAGCAAATCCAGCTTATTCGCACGGTTACAGCACATCCCATACATAACAAATCGCATGCGAATGCGAGGTATTTGTTTTTCCTGTAAAATTCATGTCGTGGATTAGTCAGGGCTGCCTGTTCCGGAAACCATCATCTTCTCGGACGGCCGATACTCCCTCGAAAACAAATATGTTATTTTTACAGATTCCAAAAGTGTGTTAGTAAGCTTAAGTAATAATGAAAACCAGGAACCTACAGTAAATGAAATAGCTAACCTATACTATAGACTTATACTCATTCGACCGTCTGGTTTGTAGTCCCTCGCCAGTCGAAGAACTCTGCTTCTGCTCATTCGCTCCAGATGACGGCACCAGTTCATTTTAGTGTCACAGATCTCCTCAAGACTTAAGACTTCTGTAAAATTTCCGCATATAAAATTGGCTGATGAAGAACTAGAACATCTCAAATAAGCTTCCTCCGCTTCTTTACTTATAGTTCTCTCCCTTCTCCAAATTGAGTGATTATGCAAACACCCCCAATGCTTCTGTGTCGAGTGGGTTGCATACCCTCACGCCATCTGTTGAACGGTAAGTTAGTTTCGCGTTGCCTCTATTCACCACTGGACTACACGCATTAACGAAAAGACATTCTCGTATTAAAGATCCCTAATAAAATTTTCTTTACAAAAATGTTTCAATCGATTCATTGCGGCTGATAGTTTTTACTCACCGCAGTTTATATATACTTCTCTGAATAATATTTCTTACAGAACACACACAATAATCGTAAGCTAAAAAGGCAATCTTCCTATCGATAATTATTATCTATTAGATTATTCAACCAAATTTAGATGAATCATAATAACATTGTAAAGCTGCCCTTTACCTTCTCAATTTTTATTCCTACTATACTTAGTAGGCTAGCTCGATTTGTGTTGTAGAATTGGGCGCTATAATAAACTCAGAGCTGCCTCTGTTTCTTTCTTGTGAGCTGAAAATGTACCGCTCATACGAGAATCCGGCTGGAGAATACCTCTATTCATGCTAGGAATCTACTAATTTGCTGGTTCCTACTTTAGAAATAACAGTGTCTTTATTGAATTAACATTCCAGCGACAAAAAGTGTCGGACGCTATTTGTTTGAATTCTTTCTTTTTTAATCAATTATTTTGGTTTTCTCTACCTAACTGTCGATGGGCATCAAAAATTTACTGTAATTAATTTCAAATGAAAATCTCGTTCTCTTAATTTGTTACTTTCTATTACATTCTTGGTCTTGTACGTTTAATAATTACCAAAACCTCTGTATTTATCCCTAACCTATCTAATTTTCAGGCGATGATATACTGCGATCTTGGTGATGAATAGATATGTTCATTAGGAGCCCTGCTTTTTCCAGTTCTTGAAATTTCACACTGATCTTATCAGCATATGTTTTTAAAATCGTCCGCGTCATACTCGACCGGCTTCGTGATTAATATTAGTTTTAAACTTTCGTCTAATTAATCACTATCGTTCTGTTCTGAGTTTAACCGTTTACTAAAAATAATTTACTGTTCACGCATCCTATCTCCACCAAATCTAGACGAGTTCTATTATTATTATTTTAAATTTTGCAACTAAACGTGTTTTTGCTTTTCACTGGTTCACATTTCTGGTCGCTCCGATGCTAGTTTGTCCTCTCGAACTATTCCATCCAAGTTCTGTCAACTACATTTATTAAATATTTTACTAATATTTTCAATGTACGTGCGGATTTCATTTTTCTTCACATTAACTTAAGCCTTAAGTTCCTAGCGTCACGTTTCTGTTCATATTATATTTCTCTTTTCTGTCCATGGTGTTTTGTTGACATTTTTATTTTATATTCAAAATATCCTAAAAGAATCTTGACCCATCTCAACATAATACGTTTACCAAATAAATAAAGCACGACAAAAAAAACTTCCGACAAAGAAACAATTATTTCGTTCAAGAAATATGAACAATATTTTTCTAAATTGCAAAAAATTCTTTCATTGATTTCTTATTCATCTCTACTCTTTACGTTATCAAACCAAACAACCATCTTCGTTCTCCACCTTGCAAAAAATACTTTTCGGTGAAGTGAACACCACGCGCCTAACGACACGTTAAATCCCTCGCTATTATACAACCGTAGGAAAAGTAATTTCATCTTGTGTTTCAGTTTATTATAAACAGCACTGCTATTGAAGATTTCCCACGCTTCCCTCACCGTGGTCTACTATTGGACACATCAAGGCACTTCCTGCCTGTGTCTACAATTATGCAGACTCTCAGTGCAATGGAAGCTAACAAGTTGAATGTTTTCCATTGGCACATTGTTGACGATCAGAGTTTTCCTTACCAGAGCAAAGTCTTTCCTGCTTTGAGGTAAGTGCGACCTATTCAACCTTTTATCATTCCCAAAACAATACCTCGACAGAAAAACATATCGTTTACTCAAAAATCAATTTCATTTAAATGTAGATGTGTCAATTTCATGGCTCTTGGAAAATAACCATGCGAAATGATTCAAGTTAAAAATAATTATGTTATTAAACAAGAACTTTCAAAATTATGTGCAATTCTCTATTTACTAGAGATTTACGTTCATAAAGTTGCAATAATGCAGGGCAGTGGAGGGAAAGAAACTAGAAGTAGAGCTTTAGAACTGCATACTTTCTCGCATTATTTCTAAATTTGCGAATTTTCGAAAATTCAGAATTTAATGAAAATGAGACCTGCGCCATTCTTCTATCTGTAGAAAACATTTGGATCAGTATTTGAGAAAATGGTTTTTATAAATAGCATAACTTTCAAGCACAAATTACGCAAAAACTACTCGTTAAAAAAATCATGACCTTTCTCAAAGAGCTGGTTTTTTAAATAAAGTAAAGGCAAAAATCTGTATCTTCAATTTTGTAGTTTTGAAATGTTAAAATTTGTAAATGTTCGAAAATACAGAGTTCGCCGGAAATGAGACTAGCACCAATTTGTTTCACAACCAAAGAGAAAATTTAAAGGAAAAAATGAAACCTATTTTTGAGGGAAAAAATTCATAAAAAACTGAAGATTGTTTGCATTTCATGCAAAATTACGCGAAATCTAATCACATTTTCGAAAAATTGTACATGACCTTATTTCAAAATATATTTTAAGAACAGATTACATATAGAAACAAATATGTCTTCAATATTGAAATTGTAGTAAGACGCAGAAAAAATTAAACTTTTGCAATATTTCAAAAATCAGGAGTTTTAACGAAAATGAGAGCTGCACCATTCTCTTAAACGTCCTATACGCTATCCGAGGACAAAGTTTAATCAAACAATTTGGAGTCATTTATGAGAAAATATTGAAAAGGATGCGACTGTACGTAAAGTAGCCCCAAAAATCAAATTAGAATTTCGTTAAAAAAATTTAACGAATTTCAAACCTAAGGGGACCTCGAATTCATTAAAATCGATCGGGAATATCAATTTGCAGGGAGTCGGTGGAACGGTTTAGGCGCTAACGTTGACCACAGACGTTTTGCAGTCAATTAATGTTTGTCGATTATGGACATATATATATTTTTCCGGCGCACGATTACAAACAATGCTTTCTATTCTTACAAAAAAAAAAAAAAAAAGTTTGTTGTAACAGCCATAAATCTCTCGTCTTTGAATGGAAGATGCAAAAAAAGGGGTTGTTTGAAGCTTGCATGCAGAGGGGGATGGGGATGTTATCTGCTTTAAAAAAACATACCCACAAGAATGGCCTCATTTTTTCTTCTTTGGGGCAGGTGCAAGAGATAATTTTAATTGTTACTTATTACACTCAATATTTCTGCTAGTGTTTTTGGGGTGCATTGCAAGCCTGTAACAATGTATCACAGAACAATAGGAACAGTATTGTAAATGTTAATACAAGGTTTTGCATAGTTTTCTCTTAACTTAGGTGAATAGATGTTATTCCTTTTTTCAATCAGCCATTCAGTTAGATCAATAAAAAATCATTAAAATCTTATTGAACTGCAGTAATAATGAATTAACATTACATAGCATACCCTGAATTTAACAATTTTTAGTCAGTAATGTCATGACAGAATTTTAATTGACAATTTTTCATTTATTCCTAAACGTAAGTCTGAGCAATAAGATAAAAATTAAGCAAATTCTCTCCTTTCAGTGAAAAAGGTGCATATGATCCTGCAAATATGGTATACACTCACGATGATATCAAAGCAGTAATTGAATTTGCCCGACAGAGAGGAATACGTGTCATTCCAGAATTTGACACACCAGGTAAAGCGATTCACACCATTATGTAAAAAAAAAAATATTATTTCTTTTAATTTTTTAATTATCAAACTTCAATAGGGTCAATGATCTAGTCATGATAATTTTTCTAATATATTTGACAAGAGGATTGGAAGAAACAAATGAAATATCAACACAAGTGCATAAAAATAAGTATAAAGCAACATAAACTCATTGTGGCATGTTTCTAATATCCCTTTGCACCCTATCCCAAATTCAGTCTTCACTGAAATCATCTCTGCAAATTTTGCACTTCTTTTCCCTTATCTTGAGGTCTTGTCTTTTGAAATAGTAAGGCATTGCACCTTTCTTTATTTACTTTGTTTTCCATGGGTTCTCCTTATTTTTCCCCATTTTCTTCTATTTTACACATAATTTCATTGTTATAGATGTGCGAATGTGTTTTTAGCATAATTACTGAATATAATTGCACCAAGGGTAAATCATTCACAGTTCTGTGGGTGATCTGGTCTGTCCATGAGACGCGACGTCACCCGGACTGCCCAGATCACCCACATGACTCTCGCCGCAGAAGCCTACGTCTTCATTCACAGTTCTATCATTTTGCATTTACTTACTGTTCTGTCATATGAGGCCGGTGCAATAGTGCCTTTATTTTTGCTCCTTTATATTGAAAATTGAAACCAATTCATGTGTTCCAGGTTTCTAAATTATGCCTTTGACAGTTCATTTCCATCTAGGGTTGAACATATACAATAGAACCTCACTAATCCGAAATTTCAGATAATCCAAACAAAATTTGGGAGAGAGGAAAAATAAACAAAATAAATAAATTACTTATTAGTAGTGTAAAGAAACGATTTCATAATTCTGTAGAACTGAACAACTTATTATTGAAACACAAATTGTCAAAAATGGAACTTTTTTTTGCACCAGTGACTACCATGTATATCACATGTTTATGTAGCAGTAATTTTCACTTAAAGGAACTTCGACAATCTTCTTTTGGTGTAATGAACTGAATCTGCTTGATGATACGATATGATGATGAGATTATATATATGCATGGTACATTTTTCAGTTAATACGAACATTTCCAAACCTGAACAGACCACACCCTTAAATAGTTCAGATTACCGGGTTTGTACTGTAATTACAATGCATCAGGCAACGATTCGAGATAAATTTTAGTCTCAGTTAACTTGTTTTAAAAGAAAAGTACTTTCAAAACATTTTTTAAATTAGATATGATGAAGTATTTATTAATTAAACTAAAATGTAATTTTACTTCATAGTTTATTTCATAAAATTATTTCGGCACCGTATTTTGTAGTGCACATGACAAATCATGGCAAAGCTCATAACCTCTGCTTCCTTTGAACATGTTTGATTGGTGTTGCTAATGTGAGGTAAATATTGAAAATAGTTGTTAACACCCATTAACAACTCATTATTAATTAAAATACGTTGAAGCTCATAAATGATCAATAAAATAGAATAATATATATATGTTATACTAAAAAGTGCATTTCTTTCTTTTCACAAAAAATATTTTGTAGTGTCCATTCTAATAAATGTATTTCCTTTTCAGGTCATACTCGCTCTTGGGGAGAAGGCCTTCCTGAATTACTTACAGCCTGCTACATTGGGGATGAACCAGATGGCACTTATGGGCCAATAAACCCTATACACACGAAGACTTATGATATCTTAAAAAAAATCTTCAAGGAAGTAGTAGACCTATTTGCAGACCAATATATTCATCTTGGAGGTGATGAAGTGAGCTTTGATTGCTGGTATATACATCTCAGGCTTTTTAAACTGTATCTCCAATATGAACACATAGAAAGTATTTATTATAAGTAAGTCAATGATACATAATTTTCTGGACAACAAAATAATCTAATATTCATTATTTTTTCAGGGCTAGTAATCCCAACATTCTAAGTTACATGGAGAGCAGAAATATTAGTGGAGAATTCACCGTTCTTGAAAGTATGTACATTCAGAAATTGGTTGACATTACAGCACAACTAAATGCAAGCTCTGTTGTGTGGCAAGAGGTTTTTGATAATGGCGTTCGGATACCACAAGATACTGTGGTTCATATATGGCTGGGCAACCAAGCGAGTGAATTGAGCAAGGTATTTACATTTTACTATACACATATATTCATATATTAATATCTTGATAACTGAAAATCCTTGATATCTTTATTGTCTCAATCTCCTCGCCTTCCCTAAATAGCACAAAAACATGTAATTTTAAAAACAAAAGTTGAATATTATGAATTATTAACTTTGATAAATTTAATTTGATCTACTTTGTGGACATGCTTCTGAACAACGACGACGACTTCACTGAAAAATCGGTATACAGCAGGAAAGATCTATGAACAAAACTTGTTTCTAGCCGGCTCCTTTCTCTCTTCTCAATGATCTAAATTCCTAGTAAAACTGATTCAATTCACTTCCTGTCAACACAGTGAATCTGTGCAAGGATGTGGAATCATAATCCAGCTGATTGACACATGAAGTTGCAATCAAAGGCAAAAGAAAGGTTCGATCACAGATAGTTGCAGACCAATATATTCAAACCCCAATATAACCAAACAATATATTAAATATTATATTTTAAATATTTTAGAGAAGAATTGAATAATTAATCAATAATAAATAGATTTAAACACTATTAGTAAAGAAACAGCCAAAAAATACATAAAACGAGATCACAAAAGATTTACTCATTTTTGTGCATTGAATGGAAAACTCACCACCACTCTCAGTGACTCAACTGACAGTGATAAGCACGCCTCTTCATCACTACATTCGGAGAGTATGTGTCAATGATGCCATTGAGTGTACCCTGATCCTTGTGTACTTTCACTGAATGTGTGTTTAATATGTATGATTGGCTAGAGGGAAGGGGGAGCCGTCAAGTTCCATGAGCTCCCCTCGCACCCCTCTCACACACACACATACACACGCTGAAATAATGAACATCCAACATGATAAATCCTGAGTTCTGGAAGTTCTTCCGATTGTAAATTACTAAGAAAAATGTTTTCTTCTGCAGGTGACTCAGGCTGGCCATAGGGCTCTTCTCTCAACTTGTTGGTATTTGGATCATCTAGAAACTGGAGGCGACTGGCAGAAATATTATGAATGTGATCCTCATGACTTCGTGGGTACAGATGAACAAAAAGAACTTGTTGTGGGTGGAGAAGCATGTATGTGGGGTGAAGTTGTGGATGAAACTAATATTCAATCTCGCTTATGGCCTCGGGCGTCTGCAGCAGCAGAAAAACTTTGGTCTGCTCACAACGTGCAGAACACTAAAGAAGCTGCACATCGCCTTGAAGAACACACATGCCGCATGAAACGACGCGGTATTCCAGCTCAACCACCTAATGGCCCTGGGTTTTGTCCACTGTAGTATTTTTATGCCAATTACTCATACTATTATGATAACATGCATGCCATTACAAATTGCCTCCTTTAAAGGTATCTGTGTGGAAGGAATGTATGCGTACTGACATAAAAATTGTAATAGTAGAAGTCAGAGAAGTGCCTTTCAGAAAAAGCAATGCACCCTCTTACGCAAATAGCGTAGTGAAAAGAATCTATTAAAGAATAATTTTAAGTGATTATTGAAAATACGCTTGCATAGAGAGAAGACTAGATGTTTATGGACATGAAAAGTTGCTGTTTATTATACAAATCAATAAAGATTTCAATTATAATACAAATTGACTTGTATTGTTGACATTTACCAAATGTTTATACACAGATTTTATAGTTCCTATTATTTACTTTGTAAAGGTAAAAATAAAACACTCTGACTTCTGATACTACTTCCATTACTTGTATTCATCAAATATTTACAGAGATGTCTTTCACAAAATGTGTACCTATATAAATAATTATATTTACAAAAAAGAAGTAATACCTTATGAATCAGTATAAGAAATTCATAGCCACTCACACTGAAGATAAATTGATAAACGAAAATAATTATAAATTAATACATGTAAAAAACTGAAAGTATTATCTTTGTTCTGTGAAGAGTACCTTACAATCACTGGAAATAATGTCCCAGTAGTCTCCATCTTCATCTTCAGACTCTGTCGTCAAATTATTAGTCTCATCAGGCTTGCCAAAAAGTTCTCCCACACATTCCTCTAAAGATACAAAAGAAAATGATTAAAAAAAAGTTTCATTCTAAAAAGTTAGCAAGGGAATAGGAAACATACTTTCCAAATCACTTAAGTCCATTTTTGTAATATCTGTTTTTATCTTGGCAAGCCAAAGCTGATAGGCAAAATTGTCTTTAACAAAGTATTTCCAATACTCTCCATCCTGTTGTTGCCAAACTCTCAATAGCAGAACACCTTTCTTTACAGTTTCAAGCAATTTCCATTTCACAGCATTTTCTGTAAAAACGATATAAATTTATAGAAAATTACAATTAGAAAAGAATCATTTTCACACATATTATTCAAGAACCACACCTAAAGAAAAATCATCCAAGTCACAAAGACTGTTGTACAAAGTAGTTACAACACCAGAAGCCAATGTATCCCTGCAATTACACAAAATCTTTTTGTTTTCTTGGATATTCAGGAGCCAACATGATTCCTTTCCAGAGAAGCACACAATTGTGTACAACCAATCCACCATATAATAACATAATTCTGTGCGTAAAGTCACAGTTGTCGAGCATGTTGGAAGTAATCTAAATAACACCTGTGTTACACAAGAATCTGCAACAGTTTAACTCATCAGTCACAACATAAATAAAACCATTATTCATTCAAGAGTCAAATATAGTGAGACCCCTACTTAGTGGACCTATGTTTGCACTTTCCGTTGAAGGGATTCACAAGTGCCTCAAACTTAGAGACAAACAAACTTTTTGCTTGTCATGAGCTTCTCTTACCATATGCTTTCCTCTGCTAGGGTAGTTCTAACTAGCTAGTGATCTAGCCTTTGGACATGAAAATGAAATTAAATCATGTAGCCTATGTGAAATGTATGCTTTCTGTCATTAAAATTACCCTACCACCATTTACTGTAAACTCTTGTTTAAGTTAACAAAAAATGTTGTCCCCAAGATTACACTTGCTAAATAAGGGTTTCACAGTTTAATTAAAGAAATAACCTTACCTCGTGTAAAATAGGTTAAACCAATAAGCTTTATATCAACAAAAGTTTTGACACCTGTACAAAATAATTTTTTGAATTAAACAAAATCCTGCACATTACAATAACATGTTAATTTTCATCACGTAAATTCCTCTTACCACTATTGACACACAATGATTTCATCACCACTGGGTAGGTGGCAAGACTGGTTAGTAATTCAAACAGAGCCACAACAACTTCCATCTGTGGCCTACAGAATACTACTTCACGAATTATCTGGGATATAAGTTCCAGTCTGCAAATAAAAAAAACACCGAAATATCAATGTATGTTTTGAGAATATAGAAAATATAAAATAAGAAGAACAGCAAAGACATATAAACAAAAAATTAAATACTTACCCTCTCTCCATTATACTAGTATTTCTTGCAACAGCAGTAAGAAGTTTTAGAATACCTGTGAGAAGCCCAACAAAGTGCCTTGTTCTTCTCTGGAGGAAAAAGAGAGTAATGGGTAAGAGAACACAAAAGGCAGATTAACAATTTAAATACAACTTGCACCAAAACTCACCTGAAAACTAATGGAAAACGCAATGTCTCTAAGAAGATGCAGGAATCCGAATGGCTTGGTAAAGTATTCAGTGTAAGAAATGTTATCCTTCTTTTGAAGAAGAGGCATTGTAGTTCCTCCACTTTCACGTATCTCATGTACACCTTTCAGAATTAAGAGTTTAGTAGAGGTAGGAAGTACATTTTTCTCCACTTCGGCCAGAAGTGTTTTATTTGCAATTTCATCACAATGGGTTGTTAAGGGTTTCGAACCTGTACAAACAATTAAAAATGAACAAACTATAATTTTCAACATTTTGGATACAAATAGGTAAATACAAACCATAAGTCAATTCAGATGCCAAACTGGAGATGTCACAAAGAGCACAAAGCAAACCCAAAGCACGCCTTGATTCTATTCCTTCTTCTTCTTCATTCCATAATCTGAAACATACAAAATAATCATTTGTATCATAATCCTAATTGTTATTATGCCCATGTGATAAGAAAATGCAAATGTAATACACATACATATTTAAAAAGGAGTAATAACATGTGCATAAATAATATTTCGGCCCACACCCAGGAACTCTGAGGGAAGCTACAAGTATAGTGTCCCTCCGACTTTTAAGTTTTCTTATAAAGAACATCTCGTTTCTCATGTAAAATAAAATGTCTGTTTTTTTTTTTGACTTACAGTTAATATGTATAACATGAAGAGTTGATAAACTGAATGACGTTTGTTAGAATAGAAAAGGCGTACAAACACTATTTTTGCTAATGTTGGCTTCAATGGATGTGGGGCAGTCAAACTATGCAAGCCTCCAGCCTGCTACCAATAATATTTGAAATAAATTATTGTTCATACACTAATGGCCAAAACACACTAAATGTTAAAAACAAAACAAAACCTACAAAAACATGTCACTTTAACAATAAATTTGGCCCTTTTCCTACATTTTAAATAATATAAAGACATCTGATAAAAAAGAAGGTATTTTATGAACTTGCACATATATTTTGTTCTCATTAACACATGTTGAGATTGTATAGGCTGAAACTACATCCGATTTGCGGCATTTTGCTTGAAAAGTGAAAAGAATATGTGTACAATTGACTATGCAATGCACTGAATAAAAAAGCTCTTTAATATTTAATTCTTGGGATGCTAAGATCAAATTAAACTACATTTCAATTTATGTTGAAGCCAAAAGGTGTGAGCCAAAAGACAAAGGTGAATGCTTTGTGGAGTACAAAGTTTGATCCTAAGGTTTCCAGAATCTCCCCACTACTGTCCTTGCATATGCAATCAGTCAACACCTCCCAAGCTGATGAGACAAATTAAAGTTGAAACAGTATAGCAAAAGATGACAAAGGCATAAGCCAAAGAATATGTTTACTAGTGTTTGCCAAAGGGTATCTTATACAAACACCTTGACCAGTGAGTCCCAAATACCACCCACCTCCCAAAATTTGTACTCCATGAAGCATTCACCTTTGTCTTTTTGCTCACGCCTTTTGGCTTTTGGCTGCAACATATATTTTGAAGCACAGATTTCCTTCAATCCGTTCCAAGGCTTCTTCGCCTTGCTAAAGAGAACCGAATAGTTTGAAAACGATGAGCAACACTGGGTTTTTCATTTATCCCATTTTGCAGTGACAGCCAATTTGGGTTCAAAATTCATCCCAAGACCTTGGCAACCCTACCAAAACTCAAAATTTCTGAGTGGTATTTGGGACCCATTGGTCAAGGTGTTTGAATAAGATACCCTTTGGCAAACACTAGCAAACATATTCTTTGGCTTATGCCTATATCATCTTTTCCTATAGTTTTGACTTCAATTCGTCTCATCAGCTTGGGAGGTGTTGAGATCAGCAACATGGCTGACCGCATACCCAAGTATAGTAGCAGGGAGATTCTGGAAATCTTAGGATCATACATTTCAATTTACGTTTGTAGAAACCAAAACTGTTTGCTGGATCGCCGAAGGACAGTTCCCAAATCAGCACGAGAACTTACAGGATTTTGTGTCACTGGTGTCTTGTAAATGGTACAAAAACTTCTTCTTTCCATAGCATATACATGATGATGATAACAGTCTTAATACAAATAATAATTAGTGAAAACCCACCAAAATTGTATGGTAACTGAGAAGAAATACATATAAGTGACCGTTTTGTATACTCAAGAATTTTAAATATTTTTCTTGTCTTCCAACCTGTTACTTTTGTCCTGTGCATAATTAACTGGTATTTCAAAATAAGTGGAAATAATTTTGATTCCAATATTTTTGTTGAAATTAAACCAAGCATTTTAACTGTTTCTTGAAGCAATGTTTCAGAAGCATTGCCTTCAGTAAAATATGCTTAGGGGCAAATGAACTGGTAACCAAATCACACAATGTGATTGTTCAGACATATTTCAGGTGAAAATTCTGTAGCCACGCTTCACATGGACTCGCATACCTGGTATTTAAAAAAAGTAGACACCTAATTGTGAATAAGAATGGCCTATAATGGCATACCCACAGACTTGCTAGCACCAAAAGTTGCAAAACAAAGTAAACAAATGGCAGAAGATAAGGGTTCATTTTATTAACTTTGCAATTTCATTATATATTTATTTTTTTATTGTACAATAAGACCTGTATAATTTCCACAAAAAGTAGCAACCCATAACACATCGGGGGCGGGGGGGCATTATCTACCTTTAAAACAAAAACACAAATTGCTTTCCAAACAAAAACAATGTTTTGAATATAATAGTTCGATATTACAATTATTCAAAATTAACTTACCATATAATACCTCAAAAATACTTTTGTTTGTTAAAGGAGTTCTAAAATTATCATGATAAAAAATGTTAAAATCTGTGTTTGGATTAACATTAACAATTAAATAATATTAAGTACTATCTAAATCTGCAATTATCAATAAGCAATATGTAGTATTTTAGTTATCAATTCTATCAACCATTTATCATTTCCAATTCATCAGTACACCTACACAAAATATTTTTTACAAAGCTCCTAGATTCTCGACCAGACAAATTATCTGCAGAGTCAATGAAAATCTATTATTGTGTGAAAATACTTAGCAAAGAAGAAAAATCATTAAGAAATACATTTTCATTTGTGGTACATTTGTCTTGTATAAACTCAGATTACATTCAACTTAATCTAGACAATATTAAATGGAGTAATTTCCTTAAAAATTATAACTACATTATCCTCACTACAACAGTTTGTTTTTTTGGCAAGCATTATTAATAACAAATTGAAAATGTGCACTAGAGAAGATCTATCCAATTTTCAAATGCTAGAAGATTATTTATTTACCAACTATATTTAAATAACACTTTGTAGTACTCACCTCGCACTCATCAAATTACAATCTCCTCTTGTTGCAGATGTACCAATAACTGAAGCTACAACGCCATTGAGGGTACCTCGTTCAGTGTATGACTGCACACCACAAAGAAGATGTAGAATGTGCATTTGTCGGCATACTATCCGTTGGCATTCCTTAACGATCTGAAGAAAATATATGGTCAAGAAACAAAAAGGTAAAATATTTGGTCAAGAAAGAGAGAAAAAAAGAAAAAAACTCACGGTTTCAACAAAAAAATAAGCAGCTGTGGAACTGACAGCATCCAATGTAATAAGTTTATTGACAGAGGAATAACAACTTTCCAAAGACTGGTTTGACCTTTGCAAATTCAAAATCTTGGAATTGATTCCTGAAAAAACCTGAGTAATAAGATAGAATTCAGAAAACATATCCATGGGTAGTTTATCCTAACATGAAGATGAAGTACTTTGGTTGATTGATCGACTAATTAGCAATTCTGATACTAGATCAACTGCTAATGTCATTAGTCCCGTAAGTGTAGTGCATCTCTCTCTACCTCTCTATGGAGGTGGCAGTGATCTTCCCCAGCTGAACGCTGAGATCCCGTGCCGACCTACTGTTGGCTAGTGGGGTTTCCTTGACCAGAGAAATCTCCCACCAGTGGGACACCGCCCCTGACCACACAAGCTCTAGGTACCAAATCAGTCTCCCGCCATGTGTGGTAGGGTAGTGCATGTAAGTGTAAGCGTGCGTAAGAAAGGGAGGTAAAGAAAGATTGCACATGGTCTGAGGAACTGCTCCGGCATTGACCTGGTATGGATAGGAGAAACCACGGAAAAATACCAATCAGATCAGCTGGCAGCTAGTATTCACCTCCAGAGAGTGACTGAATTTGACCTAGCAAGATAGCTAGGTTGAAAAACATGCCACCGTTGGGACTCGAACCTAGGGCCTCCTGACCAAATGTACTGCAGTGACATCAGTTGAAGCCCTGATCCACCTCCCCTGGTAGTTTTTTAGTCACGACTAGCTGAAGAAGGATATGATTTCCATACATTATCAAAAATTAACGTATGCATGCAAACATGCATAATGCAGGGTAAAAAAATTGACAATACATGCACAATCAAATATTAGTTTAGTATTTTTTTTTGTTGTTGTTTAGTTTTACGCTTTTTATACAAGTAAACAGTAAACAATTTTACTCTGTCAAATTCATCCCTTTTGTCAGAAACAAATGTTTCAAATGAAGAAAATATGTTTTTGATTGAAGAAAATGATTTCTATGACACAAAATGTAATTGGAGCATATTACAAAGATGAAACCTTAGCCCAAGTGAGGTCAAATTCTACACTTTTCCCATTTTTCACCATAAATAATGTTTTTTTACATTTCAGTGAAATTTCACTTGAGGATTTGAATTTAACACTACATAATTTCTTCTAACCATCTCAAACACTAATTCCAAAGACATTTTATTGTCTTCAACGATATTTAATGACACCACTGAGGTAAAAAAACCTGCTGTTTCTAATTTCTGAATTAATATAGGCCATTTTACAAAATATGTACTATATATTATAGACTAGAATAGACTTTTTTTCTAGATATATTTCATTTTTATTTTTTTGTATGCAAGCTGACTTATTTCTATTATGTTCTTTTCAAGTCAGTTATGAAGTGATTCTGAGAATAGGGCTTCCCCCATCTCAATTGCTGCTTATAATTGTTGTTCATAACACAATGAACTTGCTTTGGAAATCTGGCACTTGTACGATGGTTAAAATCTGTAGAATAACATAAGGAAAGGCAATTGTGTATAGTCAGAATCTACAAATAATGTGCTTTTTATACAAAATATGCATCAATTTTAATTTTTGCAAATTATGCAAAATATTATTTAGATAAGGGAATTAGAAGGATTCTAATGATTGAGCAGTGACAAAATGCCCGAGGGCCTTTGGCCTAGAGCTTTTTGTGGCCCAAGATCATTAGAACCCATTAACAACCGAGGTAAATATATAATTTTATTTTTTACCTAATTTTATTGATTCAGATTTACTTATTCACTAACTAGATGTTAACTTGACTCTGTTTGTCTTTTCATATTTCCCTCCACACGACAACATGTAGCATCATTCAACTGTTTTCATATATCCCTCTTACCAACGATCCTTTCACTCCAGGTAAGTTATACAATGCATATTGAGCTCTGTATCTAAGGCAATAACAAGCTATAATGTATCAGTAAAAATATAAGTATTTAACACCCTGTATAGAAGAATAAATATGCAGTATTAGTGGAAAAAATGTCCAAACCAGTATTAGGCATACATTTCTCTAAAAAACCACCAAAACATGTATGGAAAAAGTAGTATGCATTTTTAAAATGAGTTTGCTACAAAAGATATATTTATAAAGTTTGAGAGCTTGACAAAGTTATAAAAAAACATGCATTTATATGGAAATACTGTCTCTAGATATGATATTCGGTAAGATGGAAAGCAAGAAGAGTGGTTGATAGAGAATAAGGTGGAATCATGGCAGCAACAAAACGAGAGCAATAAAAATACTGACTGCCTAAACAACAAATATGTACTTAATGCTCACATGAACATAACAATTAATAAATACTTGAAAGGGTTGTCACCAAGAGAAGAGCATGGAAGAGTTGGGCACAGTATTATACTGCACTAATATTTTAAGCAATTTAATCATGAAAAAGAAGCACAAATTGTATCAAAAAGTGGTATTCAGCAGGGAATATTCTACCTTGAGCTTCTTTTATTTTTCTGCAAAGGCTTTGCTTTTTTCTAAGGTAGAGGATCCATGAAATATCTGAATGTGACTTGGCTGTCAGATATTTATTAACCAATAATCCCAATACAGCACCTGAAAGGGAGAAAATTAATGAGTAAACTACAATTCATGATAATCAAGATTTTAAATTATTCAAAAAAGGACTATATTTTCTTAAAAAAGCCCAACATTAACCATCTACAGGATGGCCACACATTTTCTGGAACATATTTGCCTTTTCATGGTTTTCACTGCAGTTTTAAAAATTTTTTCCTAACCTATTTAATTTCACACTATTTAAATAAAATATTTAAGCTACTCTAATAGTATTTGGTCAGCACTCTGAGTTTGCCAAGACAAAGAAAAATGAACAGTGTTTTCTTACTAAATAAAAAAATGAGCACAAAATAATGTTTGTTGTTTTAATACTGTACTGATATTTTTAAGGAATATCAAGTTTTAGAACCCACTGAAAATTTTTCCTGTCTTCTAACTGAGGCTGGAAAACGTATGATTTTTTTTAAAATTGATTTTTTTATTTAAATCATATTTATTTGATTTAAATAAGATCTTAGATAGCATTAGATAGAAACCATCTTGTATTGTATGTTTTTACTTTCAAGCAAAATCTTTGAATTATATATCTATAATTATGTACTTTAACAGCAGAAAAAAGTTTTTATAAGCATCAACTTCTTATTAAATATTTTTAATTTTATTTAAAAAAAATAAAGATACCATACATTTGAGGGGTCCAGTGTTCTAATACAGAAAACCTTCAAATTTGAGTTACTTAAAGTTTTGTGCTCTCAAAACACTTCTCTTGCATCCAATAAGCTTGTGGAACCATATATTAGCATGATATAGAAAGAAGGCATTCTCATTCAAAGAAAATTTTACGTTTTTTTGTGCAATACTATCCTAATCAAAAAGTTCTTATTGTTAAATAACTGAATTGTTCAAAAAACTTGTAACAATATTACAGAGTTTTTGATACATTAAATTTTACTTAATAGTTGTCCTGTTTTGGAAAAAAATTTGCAATAAAATAGTAGTTACTTACACACCTTCTCATTAATATTTTAACAGTGTTTAGTATGCTTCCCAATTAAAATGAAATTTTAACAATATACTAGTAAAAAAAAAGTTTTATATTATATTTATTAATATTTAATATTATCAGTAAAGTTTAATATTGTTAACCAGTAAGGGTAATACTATTTTCATTAGTTTTAATAATATTGATCAAATTATTATTATTATTATTATTATTATTATTATTATTATTATTATTATTATTTATCATCATTATCATTATATTATTACTGTAAAACACTGAAAAATAAATTGATATTAATTTTTTCTTTAAATGAGAATTAATAAAATTTCAATTTTATTATACTCATCACATCCATTCAATCATCATCATCATCACATCTCATATCATCATCTTTACAATATACTTTAAGTGGCTTTATCAAACATTTTAAAATAAATCTAGAATTATGGACACCTTTGAAGCTTTCAAGGAATTTTCTTGAAACTAGCTCAGTGTGTGTTAGAGCGGTACTGCTGCTAAATAAGTTTTTATCAACAGACAATTAAAGGCTGGATAAAAACTAATCGATCATCAAACTCTATTAGTATACAACTCTACTACAAATTGTTTACTGATCTTTGTTTCAAAAGTTTGTTAATTTTATTGAATATTAGTTTTATTGAATATTATAGTATACTACTTCATTTTCTCAAATTTGTTCCACGAGATGAAAAAGTGAGTATGAAATATTATATTCTTTGTATCAACTTTGTCACAGATTTAAGTCTTTATCAGAGTAATTTTATTTCACAGATTTTTAAAATTTAAATATATTTTCAAATATTACAAATAATAAAATACTGATTTAAATTATTGATATTTAAAAAAAAAAACTGTATTTAAATCATAATTTATATCAATGATTTAAATCATATACTTCTAACAATTCTTCTATAACTTCCCTAATTTTTTCCGACTTTCCCAGAGCAATGAAATTCCCAGATATTTCCCGGCTTCCAATGTTTTCCAGACAGTGGCCACCCTGATCTACATATCACACATTTTGATACAGATTATACAAACACGTTGGACAAATTAGTTTAGACATATAAATTTGTATTAACTCTAATCATAAAAGTAGAATCTTGGAATTATGACATTTTAAAACATTTCACACCTTCTCTAACTCCAAGTCTTACTGGTTTCATTTCATGGATCAATGACCCATGTTTATCAGTGCCATGTTTCATTCCTCTGGAAATTGGTGCGCCTAAGCCGCCATTGGCCACTGTAGCACGTCTGTGATCAGTTTAAAAAAAACTTAATAAATTTAATTTCTTAAAAATGAAAAATGCACAAAATACATGCATGTAAAAGCACAATTCTCTACAAAACCAGGTTTAACTTTCATACAATGCATATTTACACTCATACAGAATTAAAAGCAGGTGAAAAATACATACTCCTCTTTGAACACATCTCTCTTCTTTTTAGGAGTATCAACACTTGCAGGTTTGGGCTCAATTAGTTTTATTTTTGAATTAGATTCAAGAACTTTACAATGATTTCTCATACTCGTAGCTTCCATAATCTACACAAGAAACAAAAATGAAACACCCCTTAATGTTCTCTGTAATATTAATGTTTTTTAAATATATAATTGACAGATTCATACCTCCAACATTTTGCTGTCAGTAACATATTAATGAACAAGTGATTTTCAATGCACAAATGTCAGTCATTTAAAAATATTTCCTCAATGTAATAGCATTCAACAAATGTTTACATTACAATGTAATAACTGAAGATAACATAGATTTGTTTTGAATTAAATTAATATGAATGAATTATTTACTCAGAGTTGACATAGACTAGTACTATTTACCAGTCTCCCACCATCAGTGTTTAATCACATTACATGAATAATATTGATTACGTAGATTTAAATTGTGTTAAAAAGCAAGCTTAAAAACACTATCCAGAGGAGTGGTTAAAAACAAATAGTATAGTTGAAGATGCAATATTTGAATACCTGAAACTGTAGTTGAGTATTGGTAACATCCAGTTCTTTCTTTTGGTCACTTAGCTGCTTGGTATATTTGTGAGCTTGAGTTTCTAAACTTTTCAAGTGTTCTAATTTTTGAGTTTCAAGTTGCAACTGCAGCTGTTTCAATTGAGATCTCAAAATTGCAACCTGACAAAATGGAAGTAAATGTTATATATTTTGCTAGAACAAAATAATCCCTCCACATTAAGCACATTTGTTTCCTTGGGAGTTTTCCAAACAATAGAATGTTCAGTAACATAAGATATACAATTATCAGATGTAAAAAAAAGGGATACAGTAGAGGTGTATAAAACAGATGTATTCTTGTATTCAATTGTATTCTCCCTGTGATATACATGTACATCACATTAACATTTTTTGGCAATTAGCATAGTATCGTTTTGTTGCGTAACTAATTACCTCGCCTTCTTTCTGCATAAATTTTTCTTTAAGTTCTTTATTTTCATTTTCAAACTTTTTGTTTTGATCCACAAGAGAGCCTAAAATTCAGAGTAAAATAGTTCATGTGTTTTGAAATATTAAAATACACTAATTAATGCATAAGAATTAAACAAAAATTAACTTTCATGCTTCTTACTTGATTTCTTCTCATAGTCAAATGAATTTGTAACTTTTGATCCTTCTTCCACACGCAAAGCTATCTTTATGGGATCTTTCTTCTGATTTTCATAACTTGAGACAAAGTGAGAAGTTACACTTGTACGTTCAACAATGCCATTTAATTCATTTGATGTACTTTTAGATGTAGATGCATTGTAATTGTTCTTAGATTTTGATTTTGTAGTAATTGAACTCTCACTAACACTTCTAATTACAGATGACTGAAACAAAAAATTATGAATTATCACAGATAAAGAGACCTTTATCAATGTATAATATGTTATATAAATAATGATTTAACAGTAACATCAAAATACCTCTTGATATGCTTGAGTAGCTAGAAGCTCACATTCTTCAATAGCTTCCTCGGGTAATTCTTCTCCCCAGATTTCATCTCCAGAATCCTTTCCACTAGTATTTGGGTTGACTTTATTGGGTGAATGAGGTGTCAATGGTGTTAATCTGACATCCAATCTCGGTTTCTTGACATAACATCCAAATTCTTTGCTCACATCAGCTGGTATAAATGCAGATCGTTTGTTACCAGTGGTTTTGGTGTTTTTATTGTTAAACATTTTGAAAACGGAGCTTGTAAGCCGTTCAGTTTCGGCAAACATAAGGGTAAATGCACCTTAAATTTACACTTTTTTCATAATTTCAATAATTTAAAATCGGCAAAAGCATATTCCATGTCGTTTTGAATCAAACTGCACCAAACCACATGTTAACACTAAGCGCAGATGATATTTTATTGATGAGCGCAAAACGTACTGTTTTTCGACACAAAAAACGACAGTAATCTTCCAATTCCAGAGTTACCTCATGAAAGGAAATAACACACTGGATGTCTTACGAACCACTTGCATAACCTTGACTGAACAAATTCACGGGTTGAAACACGCCAAGACAAGCGGAGTTCACCAGAGTTCACTGCCTTTACGGCATCTCATGTAAACAAACACATTCATACCTGATGCACTACCAAACATCTCAATCGAAACCCCACCCCGAGCACCCAGTGTACCTGGGTGCCCAGCTGCCAAGCCGCTGCCCAGCACCACAATTTTTGTGACACAAACACGCCCTCGCAGAGCGAAATACAGGCTGAGAAGCCCGCCAATTCTGCCAACCAATTACCAACCTCCAACTTACCCCACCCTTGCCTTCAAATTAACAATTTTAACAAGCCATTACAATATATGTTTAAGAATGAAAAATTCTTCGTCAGGATCGAAAAATGACATTGATCATAAAATGAAGAGCATGTATTATATTTACAATTACATGCAGTGCAGTTATATGCCAAAAAGCAGGAAAAGGAAAAAGTAGCTGGATAAGTTTAGTATTAAAAAAGTAATTATTATAAGGCAAATAGAATCCGCGGAAAGCACTGCATTTAAGATTTTCCATTACAGTACTAACTGAACATCCACAATCCGGATAAATTGAGGCTTCGTCCAGATTTTGGAAACGAATCAATATTAGGTCTGATAGATGTCTTCAGCTGAAAAAAGGTGAAATACGAATATTTCATAACAGAGAGTATTTATCACTACATGTACATAAGTAGATCATACAGTATTTGAACTTTTATTAACAGTAATCATGTCGACACTTTTTAACAAGGTTTAACAACCATTACATACATTATAGTATTACATGCGATTTTATTTCGACGAAATCCAGATTATCGACACCAAATTTTGATATCATACTATATTGATGTTTTTAGGACGCAACTATTGGTGCTTTACAATATCATGATATAAGGTACTGAAATTTGATATGAGACGTTGACGTATAAATATATAGAAATAAGTTGAAATTTTAAAAAAAAATGTTGAATATTATTACAATATCAATGTAAATTAAACCTTAGGAAGGCAGTGGGTGTTTAGATATTAAAACTGGTAGATTAGAATGATACACCGAATGTCCAGAAGTTACCCTGACAAAAAATATCCAAGAGTCTATTATCAATTTCACAAATAATCGCCGATCCAGTTTTTTCCAAAAAAAATTGAATTTAAAAAACGTATTTAAAGGTCACTAACAGGCGCGCAATTCAAAACGACGGCCACGCCACCGCAGACATTGCAGTTGCTGCAACAACATTGGGCATTGCCTCATTTCCCCACGTTATCGGCGAAGCTGTCGTTTAATTGTTTGTGAGGAAAACATCCCACACACTAGAAAAGTGAGACGGCAGTTTTTGAGAACGTGACGACAGCCAGTTTTCATTGCGCACCCGGAAGAAGCCTTTTAACTCAATTTTCTCTGATATTTTATTTTCTCACCTACTGCGTACTTACGCGGTAAAGTATTGGAAAGCTGCAGCGGAAAGTGGCGATTTTCTTGTCAGAAAAGCTCATATTGTGGGGACTTGAAATCGAAAAAGGGGTTGTATCTTCTTCCTTTATGTAGTAAACGAGCGGAACCCGGCCGACGTTGTTCTGCCCTTAATCTCCCTCTTTCTCCTTCCCTCTCTCCGTCTCTCTATTTGTATCTCTCTCATTGTCTCTCCATCTCTCTGCGTCTCTTCCTCTTTCTTTGTCTCTTCCTCTCTCTTCGTCTCTCTCTCTCTTGCTTTGTCTCCGTTTCTCTCTCTCTCTCTCTCTCTCTCTCTCTCTCTCTCTCTCTCTCTCTCTCTCTCTCCCTCTCATACACATTTAGTTTGAGATTCTGCACGTCTCAGAGCAGGTGAGGTAATATCGAGAAGCACCTGACCAGCAAAAATGTAATAGAATGTTCAAGATCTCACCTTGTAGATTATGGCGTGAAACTTGTATTTCAAGTACGTTAGTTGGAATCGTTTTATAATGGATTCGTGTGGGGTATTTGGTCGACAAAGAAAATATTGCAAGGCGTCTCATACCTACGTCAGCATTTAAATTGCCTCAAGAGAATCAGCTTTAGTGTAAGTGGCTGAGAAATGTGTAAGGACACAGCTACAGAATGAAGGATGAAGCTATATTTTGTGTCAATCATTTTACATCGATCGCAGTGAAAAGTTTATTATGATTAGTGAAGGGATTTTCCCTGTTTTAAGCGGTCGATACGTGAGCCTTAAAAATATCAAAATTCGCGAACTACGACTATTTCGTGTAATTTCCACAATAGCCGAGTTATTCTGGGGCGACCAGAAGAAGGCAAATGGCGCTTGCCCCTAACCGCGACGTAATTGGGGCCCCGAATTTTTTATCCAAATAAATAAATAACTATATATATATATAATATATATATATAATATATTATATATAATATATTATCTCTACTCAATTTACGCTAATAAGTTGTTTTCTGGATGCATGAAAATTAAATTCTGTTTATGAATTGAGGAAGGAGGGAATATTTTGTTTGAGGAACCCCCGGGGATCAACTGCCCCAGGTTCATAATTTTCTCTGGGCGCCCCTGGAGTTAATACAGTAAAACTGTTAATACTAATAATGTGAGAAAATATCCCGAAAAACTTCAGAAAAAAATTACAAACAGATCAAAATTGGATTAAGTCGTTTAAAGAACATTCTTTTATTATTAATACCCGTTGACTTCCTGTGTGGACAAGGGCCTTCTGCTAGGCAGAGTAGCTTACATTGAAAAATGCTCGAGCAGCAACTTTGAAAATAGTATTTCTTAATTACTAATACTAGTAACTTGATTTACATTTGTTATTTCAAGTCATTAGTCCGTTCTTGAGATTGTATTTTCATCATTTATGGATTAAACACACTGCAGTATTGGTTTGCGAATCATTCGCAACAAGATTTCAATTTGGCCATGTCTTTTGCTACTCTCGTCCATTGTCCGCTAACTATGTCTTTGAAATAGTCTGTATATCATCTTCGCTGTCTTCCTTCAATCCTACAAAACAATTTTAAACCTTTGCAGTTTTCGAAAATGAGACCTGCACCATTCCCTTAAGCATATCCTAAACGGTGTCCGAGGGTAAAGTTTATCAAAAAAATTGGAACCATTTTTGAGAAAATTTGAGAAATGCTGAGACATGGTAGGGTCATCTGCAATAACTCGCACAACTGAAATGAAAATTCTTTTATCAAGAGAACCGCGTGAGTACAATTTTTAGCGAACAGTTCCAAAAGAGAACACATACTGACCAGGTCCTTCCTTTAAAGTCAAAGAGTAACGTTGAACCGAACTTTTTAATTTTTCTTATAGATGGCGGAACATGTGTAATATTTATATCTTCAATATATGTAAAGTATCCCCCAAAATCAAAATATCCGTTTCAAACTCAATGATACCTGCTTATAATGAATTTTACAAGTGATGACTGAGGTGTTAATATGGACAGAAATGGCAATATTATGATATTAAGTAACCGCGTGAAATATGACCAGTTCTCGCAATTTTTGAGAGAATTTTTATTTATTTACATTTATTTATTTAATGTCAAAAACAGATAAAACTATGAGACATACTATGGGAAGAAGTGTATTCGGTGCACGGTTTCTTAAATTCTGGAATCGTTCTCCCAAACCGTATAAAAGTTTAATTCTGAATACAGATGGATATAAGCGGTTTTGGCAAGAATGATAAGGAAATAATCGCAATACGTATATGCCAAACGAATGGTCCATTGTTGCTTTATTATTATTATTATTATTATTATTATTATTATTATTATTATTAAAGATTTAAGTGATAGGGTGATGATGAAGGGTGAAAGTATTAGGATGATGGTGGGAGGTGTTCATGGGATTTTTGGAACTATCCCAGCATTCGCTGTATTACTAAGGGAAACCACGAACAAACACGGTCAGGATGGCCGGCCCGAGATTCGAACCCGGATTTCCCGATTACGAGCCCAGCGCGGTACTCACTGAGCCACATAGTTTGGTTCATTGTTGCTTCCAGAACGCCGCATTGGTACAGCAACTATGGGCAATAGCAAAGGAGCGAGATCCACTACTGTCACTGCCGTCGCCGCAGGATCGTATTAGCATCTCATTTTTAAGGCTAAAATACTCATTTAATTGTCGAATTTGTGTTGATAAAACTTGTTAGCTTTAAAAGAATTAGTTTTCGAACATAATGTTTTATGATTTGTAATAAGTTTTACAAGTGATGACTGATATGTGTTCAAATTGCGATATTATAATATGTAACTCTAATATGTAAGTGTAACTCTAATATGTAAGTAACTCTAAGTAATCTAAGTAACTCTAATATGTAAGTGCGAGAAAGAACTTGCTGTTGAAGCACCACTGTGTGTGTGTGGGTGGGTGCGCACGTGCGCGCGTGTGTGCGAATCAAGTAACAAAACAAAAGTCGTGTCTTTTTCGCAACTACGGTTCATTTCTTAGCCATCTTTTGGGGGGTTGAGCGTGTGAATTGGGGTAATCCACAGTTAAAGTTTGTATTGACGCGTAACATCGCAGTCATTACCTTTTATCCCTTCGGCCAGGAGCTCCGTGCCGTGAGTAACTGGTTTCCCAAAGGGTGACCCAAGCAGGAATCCGTAGTGTCTCGAGTTTCTTGACTTCCGTATCTTCACGGAGCGTAGTCAAAGTAAGGACGCGAACCTATGCGCGAAAAATGCGCAATTGCGTTCTTTATTAACTAATATATTTATTAATTTTCCAATTGTGCATGTTATTAACTGATATATTTATTATTTTTTAATGCAGATTAATGTAAATGTGTCATTTTTACAAATTTATTATTTTTAGGGATTCACTCTTAATATTCATTTTTTCTGCACGTCACATCATACCCCCAAATTAAAAAATCAAACAAAGAATGTATGCTGATGTACAGTAACCTAAAATTTTCTTTTTGTCAAATCCCCGCAGAAATATTCTAATAAAAAAGAATGTCTCCATTACAAGAAGTTAACTTTTCTGCAAAAATATCAACTATTTCGTATGCTCTTCAAAGGGCCCTTGCACGCAAGCTTTGCGTTGACATGCGATAAGTAACGCGCGTCGTAGAATAACATTAGCTCATGCGAAACGGCACACGAGCGCTTTTGCAGAAATTGGTGTTACTCTACGACGCGCGTAACTTATGTGTCAAAGTGTGTATGTGTAACTCATGTGTCAACTTATGTATCAGTTCATAAGAACAAATCAAATGCGAACTTAAAATTGCAGTTTTCCTTCTCCTTATCTCACCTTACGATGGAAAAATGTATTAAAATGTAATTTTGTTACTGAAAAAGCAGAACAAGAAAAAAGCAATGATATCTTATCCAAATGACGTTAAAAAAAAATTTCAATCTTGCTTTTGCTACTGCGATTATGTAATTATGCGATAAAGTTTTTAAACTTAACACCCATCATCATTACCTCCATTTATTCTGAAAAATATTACAGTTTTATCAAATTTTTGAATTCTTAATTTCATGTAGCCTACTTTAGTATTTTTTTCCACTAACAATAATATTATAGTAGATTTGCTTGGTCATTTGAAATTATGTGACTGACACAGAACAGATTTTTCATTAATCTTCCTTGACATTAAAATATAAAGGAAGAAAAAAAATTACCAAAGTATAAAAATAATTCAAAAAATATTAATTTGAAAATTTAATTTGAATTTTATTAAACAGTTAATACAAACGCATTACTTTAGTATAATACTGTACTTCATTCTTGGAATAAATATTGAAACCTTTTACTTTCAGACTACCGCTTACGTAGTAGAAAGAAAGTTTTGTAATTCTGCAAGCTGTCGACTAATTTTCGCCAGAAATAAATTACAGGGCTCTGGCAACGCAAAAGTGGATAAATTGATATGCTAAATGTAGGAAAAAATCCTCTAACACATGGTGCAGCCGGAATCCAAGTTTTGTGGGCCCTTGATACCTAAAAATCGATTGACGCCAAACGTTCGTGCGTCCCTCCTCTAGTGATGTGAACATCACTAGCGCCTAACCTACACGAATATTTCTTTCTAAATTGAATAAACCCGTCGATCTGAACTGAGTCAAAACTCTGGGATTTTGAAAAAAAAACAATCATTTTTGGAGGCATTTTACATGAAGCCTTAGGGACATTTTCAAACATTTCTCAAAAATAGCTCAATTTCTTTAAATTTATTCTAAGAATAGATTAAAATACACTTTTAGAGTCGACAGAGGTCCGATTTTCACTATTAACCACAAATTTTCAAAAATTGTAAAAGTGCATTTTTTTGGCATCTTTCTACAACTACAAAATTGAAGATAGAAATTTTTCCTTCAAATGAAATTTGTTCTCATTTCCTTACATTTTGGTCATGCACATTAGTTTGAAAATATTAGTAGTTTTCATGCAATATTGTGTGCAATATGTGCATTTTTTTAAATTGCCAAAATAAGATTCTCAAGATGCTCCAAATTTTTTCTTTAAACTTTTGGAAGGGTAGGGATTAATGTACTCTTAACAAAAGCCATTTTGCTCTATTCTTAGTTTTTCAAAAATAAAATAATTTTTTTGACTTTTCTTCCATGGCATTAACGTTTATGGTAACGATTTCCTCAGACTATTGCATTACCAAATACACGCATTTTAAACATCGCTTTATAAAGTTTCACAAAAACAAACCGTGCTGATAAAATGAGCTCTAAATTCCACATTTTCAGAAAAGCTCAAATTACATTTTCTCGAAAACTACTCCAAATTTTTTTCTAATTTTTCATAGATAGCTAGTCCAAAAACAAAGCCCCAATCTAATACATTAGAAAACCAGTATGAGAAAGTCTGTGCCATTCTGTAACTAGTTCTTTCATGAAACCGTTCTGAGAGCTCGTCAACTCAGTTTCTTCAAAGAAGTAATAATTCACAGGACATTATCTTGTTACGTGATCAAAGGCAAGATTGTATTCATGGTAAAAAAAATACGTGTATACATAATATAACTTACAACATGGAAAAAAGTGTACTAACCTTTCGTTGGGTTTTTTGGAAAAGAATCCGAGGTAATATTTAGAATGGACTTTTGTTTCTAAACAAAAAATTTTTTATAAATAAGAGGATAAAAACTTATCCTCTACATTACCTCACTCTGAAAAATGTTTAATTTTTATCAAATTTTTGAATCCTTAATTTCATGTAGCCTACTTTAGAATTTTTTTCATTAACAATATAATATTATAGTACATTTGCTTGGCCATTTAAAATTATGTGACAGACACCCAACAGTTTTCATTCATCCTCCCTGATATTAAAATAGGAGGGAGCATTCTCAAATTACCAAAGTATAAAAATAATTCAAAAAATATTTTTTTGAAACAATTTTATTAAACAGTTAATACAAACGCCTTACTTTAGTATAATACTGTGTTTGAAATGAAGCAGAACATGGCAGTTGAGTGCACAATATACTCCCAAATTCATTACAATCCTTATTAGTGAGCAAACCTTTTCTCATATGCTTCCTACATCAACATTCTACTGCAGTTTAATACTGTTCAGAAATAAAAGTTCAACCTCATACATATCACATACTGAGTAACTTTCATATGAACTGAGCAACATAATACTTATGAGTATTATTACAATAGACACCACAGCACAAAGGTGTCTATTTTTGAACATAATAAAATGGAAGAGTAAATGTACACCCTTTCTTTTCATATACAGAAGCAAGTTACAGCCATAGGTTTCATGTTATAAAAACAATCAAAAATGAACTCTTTGGTTTGGTATTTAAAGAACAATATGGTACTGCTGCTTTGTATGTATTGCATACTTTATCAATAAGATAACACATTAAATTATACATCTTCCATTCTATTTGTCTTTGGATCAGGCATAATACTTTAACAGTGCAAACAATACTGAGAAACAGTCTTGAGTCTACCTTTAGCATTCTACAACATCCATCTGAATTGAAGTGGATGTGGCTTGACAGATGTCTCCACTTGCTTCAGGATCACTTTTTTTATTCATTGCCACTGCTACCCAACGACGCAGTAAAAACAGCACCCAAACTACACAGTGCACAGCTAGAACAAATATTAACCCAAAAACTGTTGCTAAAATTGATCTGCGGGGTCGCCTCCAGTCCAGAAGGGGATAGATATATGACCTTTCATGTCTGTCAGTGCCACCAAATTCATAGTATACAAAGTTGAAAAATACATAGCAACCCGTAAATAAGAAAGGCCAATAACAATGCAGCAACCTAAATGGATGAGCAACCAATAAAAAGTCTATCAGCATAAAAATGCTATTGCATGCATGGACAAGCACATTCAATACATCAAGTCTGTGATTTTCTGCAACAAGAAAGAGGTTTCAATCAAATTATTATATTTGTAGCATGAAACAACACCAAATACAATACAATTTTATATAAAAAAGCAACAATCAGGCTTAAGGAGTGAAGGGAACTTTTCTTTTATTTTTCATTAAGATCTTAATAAAACCAAGACCAGAAAAGCCACAGAGAAAGAAAGACAATTGTAATGTACAGTTTCTTTTAACCATTTTTGGCCCTAACAAATTCAGAACTTTAAAACTGATTAGGTGCCTCAATTCTTCTTTGTTCTAGTCCTTTCTCAACCTTTTGCAAATGTGCAATTCAGTTGAACATAATTTTTAATTATTAGCTTCAACAGGTATTTTCTTAAAGCTACTTTTTCTATTGTTTGGCCCAACTTGAAACATCATAACTCTTTCTAATTTTGAAGATATCTTTAAGATTCCTTTTCATTTAATAGCAGAAAGTCAATTCTGTGCCTAAGCTATACATTCTTATAGAAAATACATATTAGCAATAATGAATTGCTCTGTTAAGCGACAGTTGCCACCGATTTTTAAAAGTTCTTATTCTAATGTATGTAAAGTACATACAAGTTATTATCAATCTTCAAACTTTGGATCAGACACTGAAGTACAATCCAAATAATCTTAAAAATTAATCATCAAAAATGTTTAATGGTTCACGAGTTATGATGTTTCAAATTATGTAGTTTTTGGAAGAAAAAGAGCATGTCAAATGAAGTAATTAAATAAATTGAAGTATTTTTGACTTAATAATACCTAATCCTGTGAGCAAGCATATTTAAATTCAGATAAAATTTAAATTCAGAAATAAAAGTTTACAAAAACACTTATTACAAAAATAATTCTGTAATTAAAATTCTACTCAAGTGGAAGAGTTTGAAAATAAATAAAAAGGCATTTAATACACTAAACTCACCAGGACTATACACAGTAGCCCAGTAAACTACAGTTATTCCAAGAGCCAATACAACAGCAATTGTATGGAATACCCAGTACAACTGGTAGCCAATAGGCAGTCTCTTTCTGACAGGAATGTATTTCCCTGAAAAGGAAACATTACTTACAATTCTACTTCTCTACTCAACTACAAAATTATACAATGAAATTAGAAGCAACATTTGCTAACTGGATATATTACATGGAGAATTGTACTTTAAACTTATTTTAAAATAAATATTTTGTCATTATTTAATATATATTTTATTTACCTTATTGCCAAGTTCAAAACAATTTGTGAAATGGCCAAAATCTTAAGAAATAGGATATTTGCAAAATGTTACATATGCAGTAGATTTAAAACCAATTGATTTTGAGGAAATTTAAACCTCTTAATAAAACAAAAATTCTTTATGAAAAAATGTATTAGATATACCTTGTCTCTTCTGCTGTAGAAATTGCTGAGTTATAAGACTAGCCCCTAAAATTGCCTGAAGAGTGCATATTGTATACCCCCAATTGGTTAAATAAATTGCCCATTTTTTGTACTTAATTCCAAAATCTGCAGATCTGCCAACATCACAAATGGAACAAATCATAGAGATGAGAAATACAGCAGCCATGAACCATCGATAGAAGAAGTAACCTATATGAACTTCTTCTTGACTCTGCCACTGCACAAAAAATTCACAATAATATTGTAGCATGCAGAGTGTTTATTTTAAGGGTCCAGGTATTAGATTTTATATACCTAATTACTTACCTGACAAAGTACAAACTGATGGGGTTTGTGATGTTCCACTCTAAAAAAGTGGGGTCTAAATTCTCTCTTCCACAATTCATTCACCATTTTTAAGTTTTAAGTTTATCACTGAAACAAAGTCAAGTTATTTGTTAGTAGAAGTAATTTTTCTTAAATTAAATGTCTAGAGCTAAGAGAAAATTATAGATGATGTAATTTATCTTCTTTCTAGGATGGAAGAATATTATTTAAGTGTTAATGTTATTTGAAATGGTAGTTTTAGTGTAAACTAATCGTGTTTAATCAAGACCACTTGCAACAACACTGACCATCACCAGCTGATTCTGTAGTGTGGATTGAAATTGGTTCATTTAACTTCTCTTCACCCTTGAAGGAGTTCAACTGTTCTTTCATTTAACCAAGCATTTGACCTTAGCTGGCCAATCGAAGCAGCCATTATTCACCCCTGAACATAAACTACTTTATCATTTATTTATAGCACACACTGTTGCAGATTAATTTATACAGCCTACTTCTGACATTTGAAAATAGACTAAAAGAGGCAATTTGATGGCACTGAATCAAAAGAAACCAACTGGTATGTTAATTTACTAAAGAATTAAATTGAAATAAATAATTTTATTGATATTTTTATGCACTGGTGAGTTAAAAATAACGTAAACCATTTTAAAACCTATTTATAATTTATAGTTTCATTTTCTTTTTAAATGGAAAGTGTATTGCCTTTTTTTGTTAGACTTTTTGTCTTCTATAAATTCCAAGAAAAATGCAATATCTAGCAGTTTAAAGGTTTTCAAAGTTATAATTTACGAATTTCATTAATATTTTGGATTTCAATTCATGATTGATAATTAAATTTACGAATTATTAAATGTAAAAGAGAGAGAGAGAGTAAAATACTGTATTAAGAAATCCATAAAATTTGCAATACGTATAAGCGGTTTACGTTTGCGAAACAATCTGAAATTTTTCGTTTTCTTACATTCTTCGTAGAATTTATGACAAATCAAGGTTTTGAAGCATCAACTGGGTGAAAGGCTTGGGGCACAAACCATATATTATCCCACGCCAACTACAGAAAGCTTCTCGTAAATGTTAGTGTAGGTATACATTTTGGTCGAAATGTGGCTCATTTTGTTACTATGGATTTCTTGTTCGTATTGTGTGGAGTCTTGGAACAGTAATAACACGAGTCCTGACCACCAAAATCTAGACATTATAATTAACGAATAATAGGAGACTTTCTGTGGCAGGTGTGCGATTCTTTTTGCCCCAAGCCTTTCAAATGTACCAGATAGATTTTTATCACAAATCTGGTATAAAATATTACTCTTAATTGACTTCATTTCATGTCGCGCATCCCGCTGTATAAGGTTTTCTGGCCTGAACATTTCATGTTTGTACACACAAATTCATCAATTAATGCATGCAGAAATGCATTTACCCCAGAAAAAATAATCTCAAGTTGTGATTTGTTTCTGTGTTGTCACGTCATTGGAAGGCCGGTGTGGCGAAACGGCGCTACCTTCGCAAAAGGGCTCATGGAAATATTGATTTCGTGTTATCACGCAACCCTGGCGGAAGAGAAGCGATGTTCATGCGTCAACGATCTCTCCGAAACTCGTGTTCCCTTAACTGGAACTATCATTTTCCAACTAAACAGCCCACTCTAATAGAAGTAATGGTTTTAATGGTGTCTGCGGTTATCTACTCTACTATACTTTTCACATCTGTTCACAATATTTGCGCCGGGAGAAGAGCAAGTTTGACTTTCATACGGACGTTTTAACTTTTTTGTGTCATTTGATAGACGGCCGCTACACGAAAGGCCACTGTGCCACTCAAAACTCATTTCCCTTCTCCAGCGCACCGAATGAGAGTATTTCCATCTCTTTCCAGCGACGTACACATTTGCGTTTTATGACTGCGCGCCGTGGCCTAGGCCGCATTCCAGTCCCGAGTATCTACCTAGAATAATAGACAGGAAGCAGCTGACCGGAATTGTAACGGTTTACCGATTTTGTTCTGTTGTAACACGCGACCATTCAATGAAATTTTTCAGTCTGGGGAAAGGAAACCGACCTCTACCTGGGTGCATATCTAATTTACGCTGTGTTGTAATTTCTAGTTTTCCCGAAATGTTCACCTACATTGTCAATCTGCGACTGCCCTTTCCGGAGAGGTGGGGGCGAGCGCGCGCCCAGAGCCTTCGGTACGCGCTGCCCCACTGACGTTCATTCCAGTCGCCAAATCCCACGTTCAATTAAGACCAGTATAATTTGCCACTGCGTAGGCCGACGGTTCCTGTACACTACCACTCCACTCTGTACTCTCAACTGGAGCAAGTTTGATGTAGCAACACGCTCAACACATGTTTGGTCCCGTCGCTCGTGGTTTTACTCTAGATGGAGGAAAGGTGCATTGCGGCCGAATTACTTCTTTCTAAAGTTAGTGTAGTTCTAGTCAGAGGCAATATAATGGAACGGGAATGTAAAATCAGATTTTGTAATTCGAGAGTTTGGGAGTTCATTCTCTACTGGTCAGTGAAAAAAATTGCGTAATTTCAAAATTTAGCCACTATGCCTAGGTCACGAGAAAATTACAGTCTAGACGATATTATTTGAATCAGAATACGCTCTTGTTGCTTAACGCAAATTATGCATCATGAATATGTAAACGTCTGTGCACAATTTATTCATTTAAATATAGAACTATTGATTCAATTAAATATAGAACTAAACATTGCACACTTGCACGAGCATGAAACTATATTGTTGTTGGATTATCAAACTTTTATCCCAAAACGATAAATGATACCACCAAATTACAGTGGATAAACAATATGTAGCACTAAAGTTCTTTCTTTCTTTTTTTTATTGTGCCAATATCGACCCAATTGTTGGGCCGAAATTGTCTCTGGTTAGGTAGACAAGGACTCGCGAGGCAACCGAGCTTTTAGAGTACCTTTTCCTCTACATTTAGGACGTATTAAAACGGAAAGTCTTATTGAGGAAAGCAGTGTATATAGTACCTCTAAGAACCATGAATCGCCGTGAATGAGGATGTGTCAGCAACGCAGGGCTCCTATTCGTACCTGCGGGCGTGACGCGACGCGACGTGCAGTAGCCGCGGGCCGGAGACCGCGTGGTGCAGTGGTCCCGCAGTCAGGCGGCGGGCAGGCGGGCAGGCGAGCGAGCGGCCTGCTGCCGCGGGCGGGCAGACAGCACGAGCGACTGCTGAGAGGGAAACACACACACGGGCACTGGAGCGGCGCCGCGGCTACTGCGCTGATGCTACTGCCACCACTGCACCCCTTGCCCTCCCGCTGCTGCTGCTGCTGCTGCTGGTGACGGAACTGTAGCGGCCCGGTCGCCCCCCGCCGACTCCCCTCCGCGGCCACCACCCCCTCCGGCGCTGCTGCTGCGGCGGCGGCCGCGTGCGTCACCACGTGGCCCTCCCTCCCCTCGCGCCGCCCCTGCCGACGCACCCCTCCGGCTGACCGTGACCTCAGAAACGCAATGGCCGGCCGGGCACGCGGTTGGCCTCGTTTCGAGGAGAATTTCGTGGATTTTGCTTCATCTCCTTTATGGGGAAAAATGTTTCCTTAAAGAGATGTTGCCAATTGCGGTAATTACGATTGAAAAATACGAATCAATACATCGTGCCTGACAATGAAAAGAAACCAGATAGCGATATTATAGTATGACTTTTCAGCATTTTTTCTGTGAACATGTTGCCTTGACTTTTATAAAGAATACTGAAACTCGATGCTATAAAATTATGAAACAGAGAATGTGAACGTACCTCAATCACAGAAATATGAACATTTCTTAAGAAATGTATTTTGACATTAAACAAGATTCGTGGCTTCATAAAGTTCCAGAAATTATCTGATTATCGGATATCCTAGCAAAGGCATGATGAAATCCCTTTTGTACGGGTCATGTGTTAATTCTGCTTGCTTGTAATTTGAGCGAAAAGTGAGGGCATCAAAGTGAGAGTGAAAAAGTGAAAATCGTGTCTGCGTATCCAAGCCAAGTTAACCCCAATCGCCAGAAGAACAACACGTAGCTATAGCAAAACGTTAACAATTTATATTAGTGGATGAAACATTCACGCAGGTGGCAATAATAGACATAACCTGGTAGGCCCCCCAATATTTCGATGTTTATTGAATTTTCACAATCATGTAAAATGTCTAAAAGAGTATTGAAATAAAATGTTAAGCTCGTTTAAACACTTAAATGTTACTGTCAAAATACAAGCAAGTGAAAAAGTGTGAGAGCAGAATTATATAATGAAGCATACATAATTGCAGAGGTTCCGATTTCGTTTCTCGAAATTATCTGCAATTATTATTACCTTGAATCTATGGGTATCGATAGTTCATTTCCAGTGAATGGATGCCGTACAGAGAATAAAGCATACTTCACATCCCGGAAGATAACTTCCTTTCGATGTGAAGAGCGTTGAAATGCCGATGGCTGGTAAGTGATCCCCTATGATCTTTATGTGGTAGAGAGAGGGCACGTGTTTTTCAAGAATATGCCATATTAATATTAATAATAAAAATAATAATAAGCATCTAGCAAAGGCTGTCAATAAAATTTTTAAAAAACCCAAAGGATCTGGCGGAATCACTTATTTGCTGCCCAGAGCGGAGACAGTTCTTTGGCGAAGAACCACAGGCCAGCCACTTGTCTGCCAGTAAAGTATAAAGTTTAACTGCAGCCATAGCTAACAAAATGAACCGACACAGAAAAAAAACACCCGTTCAGAGGCGGGATTTCGGATCTTTTATTAGGGGGAAGGGCAAATATGAGCGCAATTGTAAAAATGAAAATAAGAGTATTCGTTTATGTTAATGCTGTAAGTTAATTGTACTGCAATTATACACATTGTTTTCAATTTTGTTAATTATTTAATTGATTATTATTGAATGTTATTAATTAGATATTGAAGTAATTGAACACAGAAGTGATGATCCTAATTGTTATTTGAACGGTCCGATCTGTTAATTCAATGATGCAGTTTTCTTAGTGAATCATAAATAGTAATATCTAATTTTTTATCATTTCTTATGATAACAAATAATTATACATAACTGTACGATACATAATTTAAAATCTACATTAAAATTATTTTAATTAATACGCAATCTTCTGTTTTTGGCATGATAGAAATAATTTATATATTTATTTATATCTATAGTCTATAATATGGCGGTTTTGATGGAGGCAGCTTCGCCTTTATTGAATGTGTTAACCGCTTCGATAGCTTTTTAATTGGTACAGTTGTAGTTTGCGGCGTACCCCAACTTGTAACAATGGGTTTGGGAGGCAATGGCATCGAAGGAACTATTTTCTTACATTTTTGCACTCGTAATGGAGACTAATATTTTCTTCACTGTAGAAATTAACCTATCTACATCAGAATAATTTCCACGAATTTCTTTCGCAAATATATTTAGTGCATGGGCAAAGCAGTTACACGTGTCATTTTAGGGTAGATTAGCTGCAAACCTAGCCAGCTTTCACCATGTAACGGTCTGCATCAGTGACTAGAGGTAGAACCACTAGCGTAACTACCGCCGGCCCGACAGTTGCAATTACTTGGGGCCACCGGACACTCCCAATAGTGTTTTGTCTAACTGAATACACTTCAAAGGTTCCTTTAGAAAGCGATTTGTTTATTACCATAAATCGACTGGTGGGAGGATTTAATCATGAAGGAAAGACATTAGCCCATGGTTTGAATTATGTATTTTATTTTGAGGACGCGAAGATGTTTTCCAAATTTGTAAATTGGCATTCCTGGGCCTGTATTATTTATTACTTCATTTAAAGTTGGACATATCCAAAACTGAAGAGTTTCCGTTATAGTAAATGGTCCAGAAGAAATGATTCCCCTTTGGAGATTCGGATCAGGTACGCTGTTTAACAAGCTTTATCAAAAATAATCTTAACAAGCAAAAGTGCATCTGAGAGAGCAGTTGCGCGCAACCTGAAAAAAGAAATGGAGTCATTCAGATTCGTATTCCAAGGTAAAATGCCTTAAAAAAAGTTTGATTGCGACTAATGTTGGGTCACATAATCTGCAGATGTCTGATTTTGATCTTTGCCAAGCATGGGATTTGATTGAAGCAACTCCCAATAATCTAAAAGATTTTAGATGAGACTTTGACAAATCAAAAATCGAAGCAATGGACTTTGGACCAGGGATGAACCATCTTGGAACATAAGTCGAGTTTTGCGAGAAACGTAAAAAAACTGAAACGTCATTTCGATGAACTGTGCGAAGATTAACTTTTATCTGACGGCAAAAACGATTTAAATGTAACGTTTACTTCGCTTGTTTAGATAGTCTGATTAGGCAGCTGAACCATCGATTTATTGGCTTGAATCAAATAATCGATTCCTTTGCAATCTTTCAGCTACAAACTTGGTTGTAGCTTTCAGATTAACTTTCGAATCAATGCGAAAAACTCGGTGAGAAATACTATGACAATGTAACTGATCAACTGTTTATCCAGCTATCATCCTGGTCTAAAAGATCGAATTTCGAAGATTCATTCAATCAGAGAGTTGGCTAACTTGGTCCTGATCGAGTACTTCACTCTTTCAGCTAGCTTTCCAGGTGCCTGCTCAGAAATCTTGCTGTTTCTAACGATTCCTGTGATGGTTACGACTGTGGAGCGATCTTTTTGAAAATTAAAAATTATCGAAGAGTATCTGCGAAATTCGATGGGACAGGAGAGACTAGCAGACCTTAGCATATTACCCACACAGAGAATAGTGACGAAATCGTTAAAAGCGAACCTGGGTAACGTTATAGATAAGTTCGTCAAAGCGGAAGTTCGCAAGGATTGATTATGATTAATTGACTAATACAGTTCCTTTCAAATAGTTTTGAGTATGCGTTTTTTAGTTAAATATTTTTTTAGAGCGGCCCCAATTTAAGTTTTGGACTGAGGCCCCGGAAGGGATAGATACTCCACTGACACATGTTCTCTCTTCACTCCAAGCCACGACAGATTCATTGCTAATGCAAAGTAACAATTGTTGAGTGGTTAGCTTAGTTCAATGTTTCACAGGAAATGAGAAATGTATCTTCTGTTCGGTCTCCTTTTAAATCACTTTCAACAACGTTTGAATTTGTTATGAAAAATCTCTTTGAAACAACTGTAAGCAAGTATGTGAAAATCATGATAAAATCATCATGGAATAAAAATGATAAAATTGTGACGAAAATAAGAAAATGCATGGAGAAATGTGACCATAAAATGAAATATAAATGAAAAATGACAAAAGGGTTAAAAAAGCTAAAATATGACAGTATGTGAACAAATTGCTGGAGAGCTATCTGACTGATGAAACAAAAGGTTAAAGTTGATTACTATTATAGTGAAGATCTCACAATAAAATGTGGAGAACCTCAAGGAACTTTATTAGGTCTACTGCTATTTTTATATACATTAATGACATATTTAAAGTCCCAATAACGGGTGGTCTTACATGTTTCGCTGATGATACAAGTATTACAATGTCACAGGAATCTTGGGAAGAAATTAGATTGAGGTGTTTGGTGAGAAAGTGAGGTCTGAGTACAATTTGCGTCAAATAGTAACGGGGTAAAATAAAAATGGGCAGCGTAAAACAGACGGATGGACGGACAGACAGACGTTTTGCCGTCAATCAATTTTTCGGTATGAAGGACGAACAAAACATGGATTCTGGCTACACCGCGTGTTAGAGGATTTTTTTCTATATGTAGCAACTGAATTTATCCCGTTTTTCCTTACCAGAGCTCGGCTATAAGCATTGTGTGTCGAAAATTCGCCGTTTTCCGGCGCACGATTTCAATACCTTCTCATCTTACGTTAGTAACTACGAGTAAGTAAACATTTATTTGAAGGAAAATTCGCCATCAATTTTGTAGATGTAGGAAGAAGCAGTAAATTTTAGAACATTCAGAGTTAACAATGAAAAACGGACCTAAGGCATCTTTATAAGTGTACTTTACTTTATTCGATCAAAAAATTGGAGAATTAATTTAAGAAGAATAGAAGAAAGAAATAATTTGGAGCCATTTTAAGAAAATGTTGAAAATGTTCCTGGGGATTCATATAAAGTACCCACGAGTTTTAAAGAATGTTATTCATAATCACAGCGCTTGTAGTCGACCCAGAGTGACCACGGAAATTCATTTTGGAAAAAAAATCCTATATGGAGCTTAGGCGCTAGTGATGGTCACAGACGGACGGAATGACGGACGGACGGACGGACGGACGAACAGACATTTTGAAACTATTGGTGCTACAGAATGGCTCCCGTATTAGTTTTATATTTCCTTTGGTCTCGGCTAGCTATTCGGATTTGCCACATTCTCTTACCAGCTG